CTTATTTTTAAGATGTTATCAACTCACAGCAGTTACAATGTCCATTATTAATAATCAGCTTACCAGCACCCCAGGAGCACAGCCCAAGGCAAAGGAAGAAGGGTGGTGAAGTGTGAATGGGTGGGGAGGTGACACAGTCCTGGGCAAGAGGAGAGATGTCCCTTTCCAGCTTTCTAGTTTGTTCTGTTGGATGGAAAGCCCATCCTTGTCCTCACAGATGTATTTGCAGTAGACCTGTGTTAGGTAGCTCACCCTTTCCTTACAGAACAAGTAGAGAAAGGGCTTGAGCCAAGCACTTATTTTTTCCCCAAAAGGAAGTTTCAGCAGCTTTTTAACTATATCATCTTTTGAAACAAGCTCCCTCCCTCCTAGGAAACCCTGTGCTCAAGCACTTATTAGTTCTGCAGAGTGGGATGCAAAGGCTTTTCTAAAGCATAATCATGAAGGAAAAATACATAAAATCTGTGTGTGTGTGTGTGTGTGTGTGTGTGTGCGCGCGTTTAACAAGAAGGCACTTACCCAGCATGTATCATTAAACGTTATGTGCATTTGGGGAATAAATTATCATTTCTAGGCTGCCTCTGGTATGGGTTGAAGAGTAAAATATATTAACCTAAAGTTATTATTTATATGCTAACAAATGGAGTTAATGAAAACCATTTCACATAGAAAAGAAAGCTACGTGGTATGCGATTTTTTGAGAATTCACCTGAAAATTGGTGGTAAATCCTCAAAAAGTCCTCTGTATGTTAAGATCATGCAATGGGATGACCTCATTGGTCAAGGATTTCACCAAAGCAAACAGAGCAAGAAACACTCTATACGTGGTCTCTTCCTGCCAAGCACACACAATCGTCAACTGTTTTCTAAAGAATACACATTTGGAATCACATGGACTTTTTGAAAAATTGCTTGAAAAAGTCATTTGTGGTGGGCATCGTGGCTCATGGCTGTATTCCCAGCACTTTGGGAGGCTGAGACAGGAGGATCATTTGAGTCCAGGAGTTCAAGACAGGCTGGACAACATAGAGAGACCCTGTCTCTACAAAAAATTTAAAAATTAGTTGAGTGTGTTGACACATGCCTGTAGTCCCAGCTAGGAAGGAGGCTGAGGTAGGAGGATCACTGGAGCACAGGAGGTCGAAGTTGCAGTGAGCTGTGATTGTCATTGCACTGCAGCCTAGGGGACAAAGCAAGACCTGCCAAAGGAGAGGAAGGATGGAAGGAAGGAAGGAAGGAAAGAAGGAAGGAAGGGAGGGAGGGAGGGAGGGAGGGAGGGAGGGAAGGGAGGGAAGGTGAAAGAAAGAAAGAGAATGAAAAAGAAAGGGGGGATGAAGGAGAGAAGGAAAGAAAAAGAAAAAGAAAGAAAGAAAAAGAAAGAGAAAGGAAGGAAGGAAGGAAAAGAAAGAGAGAAGGAGGGAGGGAGGGAAAAGAAAAAGTCATTTGTTCTTAATTTAATGCTGGATACAATGGGGGGTGGGAATCACATAAAGCCATCCATAAAAGCCTTCAGGAATCAATCGGATCAATCAGTAATTAATTCAAAATCCCATTTTCTGTTTTAGGGGTATGGCTTGAAGATGGTTCTCATTATTAATATCACTTACATCAAGATATATAAACTTGTTTTTCAAGACTCAAAAATCTAAATTACATCTCAACAACATGTGATTGTACCCAGGCATTTCCCCCTGGAAGCAGCAAAGGAAAGAAGGTAATTTTTTGGTCTTTTGGAAGCTGCGCCCTGGTGCCAAGATGCCTCAAGCCAGAACCCCACAGAACAGCCTGCCTGGTGGCGGCCTTGCCTGACAGACAGGCCCGGTGGGCTTTATCAGGCTCTTAGACTCTTATGAGCTTCCCTACTTGCAAATCAAACATGAATTTATCCTCTGTTGCTCTTTCATAAAAACACTGGCTCATGAGTGTTTCCATTTGTCTTCTTATGGATCTTACAAGTCAGTCTGAACTGCTTGCAGAATAATGGCATTTCCTAAGTCTTTCTGAGGAAGGCCAAAAAGAATGCAATTGCCCAAGATGAACAGGATGCCCTGCTCACTTAATGGACTCCCAAAGGCCTCCTTCACTGGGGTGACGCACTGGGGCGAGGAGTCTTACAGGAACTTCTGTGTGGCCTCGGCTCCCCTGAGACCCAGTGTGTTCCATTAGAGGTAGATGGTGTTTTCCTTCACTCCCCAGTGGCACAGACAACAGCACATGGGGCCACAAGGCACAAACCTGGACTCTACCACTATCTGCACATGTCATTTGGAGGGGGGACTTGGCCTCCCTGAGTCTGTTTTCTTACTTGAATTTGGCAAAAAGAAAAAGAAAATCAATCATACATCAAATATTGATTAAACACTGTGACAATCCAAGCAGAATCAGTTTTTCAGGAAACATAGCGTCCCTTCCTCTAGGAGCGCATGATAAAAATGTGGAATATACAGCATGCCATAGTGGTATGCGCAGGTCAGGGAGGGGCATTCACAGATAGGCCAGGGAAGGCCTTAAGGAGGAGGTGACTTGTGATTAAAGACCTGAAGGAGGGGAAGGAGGGCACGCTGCGGACTTCAGGGGGAAGAGCCCTCCAAGGGAAGGAATGACCCTGAGACAGCAACAAGCTGGGTGTGTGGGAGAAACAGTGTGACCAGGGCAGGGAGAAGGAGAGGCAGGAGGAGGAGATGAGTTCAGAGAGACAATTAGGGGACAAGATCATCTAGGGAAGGGGTTGGCACACTACAGCCCTGCCACCCATTTTTAAAAACAGTTTTCTGAGAACCACAGCCATGTCCTTTGGTTTACATATTGTCTATGGCTACTTTCAAACTACCACAGTAGTGGTGAGTACTTGTGACACAAATCATTTAGCCCACAAAGCCTAAAATATTTACTATCCAGCCCTGTATAGAAAAGGTTTACCACCTCTGCCTTAAAGAAATAGGGGCTAATTTTTCTCCATGTTAGGGAGTTTGGAGTAGGCAGTGCAGAGATGGTGCAGAAGCTCCATGATGTTAAGAAGGATCCAGACACCTTTGATCTTTATGCTCTGCCAGCCTCAGCATGTGGACATGTTGCATTATGATCTCAATGTGGCTGCCAGTGCTCCAGACATTACACATCATGTCCCCATTTGAGACAGGCAGGCAAGAGAGACATCTGTTCCTTCTACAGGAAAGCAAAAATTATCTCCACCATCCCTCAAATCTCTCCTCCCCCAGCCCACTTTCCCCTGTCTCTATGCCTAGAAGTAGGTCTTATGGCCACTTCTGGCTTCAAAGGAAGCTGAAAAAAGCTACAAAAAGGATTGTCAAGACTGACTTAGACAGCTGTTTATTTTAACTGTAACCCACAGTGAGAAGCACACATAACTGAAACATAATGCAAACAAAAAGTTCCATAAAACACAACTTATATTTACTATTTGTGCTATACACTGATATTTTCTCTTCCATTTTTTTAAGTACTGGTCATATCATCCCCTAAATTAATTTCATGACCTACTACGGGGCATGATCCGTAACTAGGGGCTGGCATGTTGCTGCTACAGACAAGTTGTTTTTTCTCTCTCCTTTCCCTCCCTCCCTCCCTCCTTCCCTCTTTCCTCCTTCCTTCCTCCCCTCCATACTTCCCTCCTTCCTTCCTCCCTCCCTCCCTCCCTCCTTCTCTCTCTCCCTCTCTTCCAACTTCTTGTCCTTTTCCTTCTTTCCTATCTCTCTTTCTTTCTTTCTTGTTTCTAAAGAAGGGAATGGACATTGGCTGGCAACCGACAGTAACCGCAGCCTCTACCATAAGGGAGCTGGAGACCACACCCAGTTCTATTGAACCTGAAAGAAAAGGTGGCCCCTCCTTGCTAAGGAACTGAGGACGGTGACAATGGACACCCGTGTCCAATGTTATATGCAAGCACTCACAGCCATAAAAGAGAATAAAACTGTGTCCTTTGCAGCCGCGCAATGCAATTGGACGCCATTATCCTAAGCAAACTAATGCAGAAATAGAAAATCAAACACCACATGTTCTCACTTATAAGCAAGAGCTAAATATCAGGTTCACCTAGACATAAAGATAAAAGCAACAAACACTGGGGACTCCAAATGCAGGAGGGAGAGAGGGGGGAAGGGGTAAAAAACTTCCTATTGGGTACTATGCTCACTACCTGGGTGACAGGATCAGTAGAAGCGCAAACCTCAGCACCATACAATGTGCAATTGTAGCAAACCTGCACATGTATCCCCTAAATCTAAAATCAAAATGGAAATTTTTTTAAAAATGCAAACAGTAATACCAACCGCCCAGGAGTGCTGAGGGAACTGCATGGGATCCTGGGTGTAAAGCACCAGCATAGTTTCTAAGCCACAATGCCTGCACAGGACACATGGGGTTGCTGTCCCAAACCCAGTCCTCACTCAGAGCCAGTCATGGCCCTGTAAATAGCATTAACCAGGTCAGAGAGAGTCATTCACGCCCGAGCTCCAGAGAGCCCAGGGAAACTGGATGTCTCCCTGGTGCTACGTTTACTTCTCCTATCAGTAGTGATTAAATTCTTAGGATCTCATGCTCAGAAGTTGACAGCTATATTGAATTTTACCTACTGTTTTAAAAAACCTTTGGAAACACCCAATTATTGGTCTCAGCTTTGATGAGGTCTGCCTGGGCTGTGGAAGAGCAAATGTGTCATGACAAGTCACCAACCACAAGGACCCTCAGAGCTGTCAAAGGATGGGCCATTCTCCAAAAATTCAAGCAAAGGCAGAAATGGAAGGGCCCCCAGACTGGGCATCTTTAGTCCTGTCACTTTTTGCAGGTGGGGGTTGCAATTTAGGTCATACAGCAGCCATACAAGCATTGGCACAGCCCCTCTAAGTCGGGGTTCAGGGACTTATGAGACTCAAATTCCAGGCTGATTTTGGTGCATGTGGCCACCTGCATTTTCTAAAAGATCCATATCAGATTCCAAAATGGCCATGAGACCCTAAAAATAATAGGAAATGCACATTGAATGAAACCAAAACTATTTATGTTAGGGGTAGGAGAGAACAGGTCCAGAGGTCAGAGGTGGGAATGATGAGATAAAGCAGAAATTGCAAATGTTTTCCACCAACCCCAGCCCCAGCCATGCCACCCCCACACCCCAGAAACACTGAGCTGGACTCAGTTCCCCAAATGGCCTGTGGTTTTCTGTCCTCTCTGCCTCCGTGCTGGCGATTCTTCGTGCAAGAGGCGGTGACTGGGAAAGACTAACTTCTTATTTACCAGATCGGATTTCTTAAACGAAAAGGAGTTCTAAGGCCATGCCAAGCAAACAGCCAGACTGTACAAAGGTGCCCCTTAAGCAATAAATAACAAAAGCTCCGGGTTTACGGATAAGCCTCCCCAGACCCCACGCCCCACCAGGCATGCATGCAAGCAACTGCAGTGAATGCAGCGCCTGCGCAGCGGCCTTTGTTGGCAGCCCAGGAGTCCGCGTTACCCCCAAAGTCCCTGGCCGCCATCCTCATTCCGAACCCCTCGGGGCTGAGTCGGGCTGCTTTCTACGCGCGTCCCGGGGCTCCCTCGAGAACTTAGGAGACGCGCGGCGCCCTGAGCAGTGGCCTGGGAACACCTGACACACCGCTCACCCCAAACCTTCCCCGCCGCCCCTAGGGCACCGCCCGGCTCCGCGACCATACCCGTGTTCCCGGGGCGGGGCGGGGCGGACGGGGCGGTGCCATTGGCCAGTGCGGAGTGAGGGGCGTGGCTGGGGGGGGGGGCGGGAGGGGCGGGGCCGGGGGCCTGGCGGGGCGAGAGGCGGGGCGAGGGGCGGGGCGAGGGTGGGCCTGGCCCCCGAGTCACTGAAACTCGGGGGCAGCAGGCGCTGCGGGCGCAGCTCTGGAGCAAGCGAGGGCACGACACATGCAGTGGCTTCTGGACTGCGCGATGACTGGACGGTGAGTGATGCACGAGCAGGAGAGTGCATGGGCGTCCATGGAGCACCCGCTCCGACCTGGGACTGCCACCAGGCAGGGACGCTGGAGCCTGGGCACTTGTACCCTTCGGCCGCAGCACGTAGGGTCCCTCCCCCTGCCAGCCTGGCGCATTGCGGGCCTCTGGCCCATTGCTGAGAGTGGGCACTGCGCCTAGCACCTCTGCTAAGCACTTTAAGGGCTACACCTGAGCACGGCAGGCGAGCACCGCCACTGGCTACACCTTTTTTGTTCACCTTGCCCTTAGCCAGTTTCCTAGAAGCACTGATCCTAGAGTTGAGGAGAGAGCCTAGAGGCCTCTGGCACAACTCTGATTTCACTGATGGAAATCCAAGACTAAGATAACAGCAGCAGGGGTCTGTCTCTCAATCTCTGTCTGCAGAGGGCTTGCCTTGCGCTGGGCTGAGTGCTTTATTTATGCCTCACAGCAAGTGAGATTCCTAGTTTCATTATCCCGTTTTCAGATGAGAAAATTGAAGCTTAAAGAGTTATAAAATTGACCACCTTTACTGAATGAGTTGGTAGTGGCGCTAGGATTTGAAACCAGGGCTTGGTATGCCTCTGCGTCTCTTGCTCTTCACCTCCAGTCTCCGGAGCTAAGCCTGCCTGCTGCCCAGCTCTTCTTGGCTCCTGACTCTGGTCCCGTCCTACACTTCCCACTTCCAAAAGATTCCTCCGTGTTTTCATTAACCTAGCATGGCCGAGGGAGGGAGGCCTCCTCTCACACCAGGATCAGTGCCCAGGCCGGGGCCAGCACTTTCTTAAAACACGGCAAGAAGAGCTTCAGGAGCCCCATTTCACAAGGAATTAAATAAGGTTGCACAGCAAATAAGGGCTGGGATTCTGGAATTTGAACCCAAGCAGGTTAGACTCCAAAGTCATGCTGTGCACTCACAGAGGAGACCCTCACTGGCTTTGCTGTAGTTTAACTGCCCACAGTACTAAGGTGTCAATCAGGATTTGTTGCCAGAAATCATTTAAAAAAAAAAAAAGTTAGAAGTGAATTGGTGAAGTAACAGATAAATGTAGACCCTCCTGCCTTCTGTTCTGTGGCGTTCCTTAGCTACTGCTGCCAGGACAGGAGCTTAGAGGAGAAGACGGAGGGAGAGAGTCAGGGGAGAAAGAGGAAGGGAGAGAAGAGGAGAGATGAAACTCATTAAGCTTCGGTTAAAAAAATGCTGGCTGGAAATTGTCATGGGCTGTTTCAGCACTTTGTCAGTGTATGTGAAGGCTGTTGTCATTAGTTCTAGCCATAATTCTCTCTGTGTGTAGTGCTGGTGATTTGACGATAAAAAGGTTGATGCCACAGATTAAAGTGTTCATCTGAAACTCAGGAGATGGAGCTGTATTTCCACCATGAACACTCCAGTGAGTGGCCTGGAGGTCGAGAACAGAATCAAGGTCCAGGGTCCCCCTGGATCAGGACCAAGTGGACCATGACAGATAATAAAGAACATGAATGCAACTTGGGTGTGTGTCAGAGTTCAGATTCTAAAAGTGCAAAGCCTCAAAGGAGAGACCCTAAATAGGGGGTGTGCCAGAAAGCCCTCTGCCCTGGGTCCCTGGGGCCTGGGGCCTGGTTTCAGGGGTCAACTCAGACTCTCTCCTCACTCATGGCCAGTCTTGCTGGGAGGCCTCACATTCCCATCTCTGGGAACCTGTCTCTCCAGATCCCCCGACTCCCAGTGTCAATAAGAATAGTAATGGGAGCTTCCTTTCATTCGGGTGAGGCTCACATAAGGCCCATCTTACAGGTCTCCTTGTTCGTCTTCACAAAAGTCATTGAGGATGATAGTTATTTAATTGATGAGGAGCCCAGGGTTCAGAAAGGGAACATTACTTGCTTAAGGTCACACAGCCAGAGAATCACAGAGCAGGGCTTTGAACCCAGAGGCTTGCAAACACTAGATGGTTATTCTTTCATGGAGTACATTTGGAGAAACTGTTTAAAAGTAAATAAAAATCAAATAGGAAGTGGCTGTACTTCCTGAAGCTTCTGCAGTTTTCTTTTTATTAAAAAGAAACTTGTAATTCCTGGGATCCCCTTTTCTGGCTGTCTGACCCTCTTCCCTAGGATGTACTGCTGAGGAAGAAACCTGGTACCCCATCCCTTTGCCCTGCCTGGCCTTGGGAAGCAGGGGTGGGATGTCATTCAGCCCCACAGCTGAAGACCCCAGCCCTTTAGTGCTGGGAAGATCCCTGAAGACACTCTATACCAGCTGCCACAACAGCTCTGGCTAAACTGAGGCCTGAGAGAGGTCACAGACCAAATCGATGCCACAGCAAAACTCGCATGCAAGCCTCTATGACGCTCCTCTTTCTTGCTGCGACGTTTCCACAGAGATTCTAAACCTGGGATCTGGGGATCTGGGAGACGTAGACAAGAGTTGTCTCACCCCCTGCAATGGTATGCAAAGTGTGTGTGTGTGTGTGCGTGTGTATGTGTATGCACATGCATGCGGACTGCAACAACATGCACACACATGCATTTTCTGGGGTGAGTGCACTAAGCTTTCAAGAGACTCCAAAGACTCTATGACCCAAAAGATTCTGAGACCCTTGTGTCTCACAGGACCCTTGTGCCCCCAGCTGCGACATGTGGCACACAGGCCGGGGGCAGTGGATAGCATGGGTGAGGGCAGCCGTCAGAGCGTCCAGAGCAGCCCTGCAGCAGCTGGCACCCGGGGGGTCTGCGCCTCTGCACTGCACTCCCAGCCCCAGGCAATCGGGATGTTGGCCAGTGCCCACTGTGAGCACCTGTCGGCCTGAAAACCATAGCTGAGATCTTTGTTTCTGTGGATCCCCTTTTCCATAGATGGGAGGTGAGCCTGGTTGGTGGGGAAGTTGGAGTGGTTCAGAGGGTTCCAGGGCCAGGGAATGTATATTTAAGGTGTAAGAGGGAGCAGGAGGACTGGAAATGGTTTTCTCGTCCCAAATTGCTTTGCCTTGAAACAAGGGCAAAAGCCAGAAGTCTTGCCCACTGGGAAGGCTGTTCTGCAATCTACATGGGTGCTCAGGGCCAGGCTCTTAGAGAAAGGGGAGCTGTGTCAGGGAGGCCTGGATGCTGGACTGGACTCAGGGACCTGTCAGTGAGAGCCCAGGACTGCAGCGAGGAGTAAAGTTGAGCCGGGCCTGTGGGGTCAGCCCAGGGCAAGGCGGGAGTGGAGGTGGAGGGGAGATCTATGCCCGCCTCTTCTAGACTTCCCTAGCCTCCATCACCTCCACCTGCACAGTGCAGAGTCTTCGGGGCAGGCAGGAGTGAGTCGAGCCAGAGGGGTGATGATGGGAGTGGAGAGGGGAGGTCTGGTGATTGGAACTGGCCAGCAGGCGGGGACAGCAGTGTGGGAGGAGGTGGGAGAGGCAGCTGCTGAGTCGTTGCCGTCCATCTACAACTGGACAACTGGTTCTCACCACAAAAATGCTTGGCTGAGGATACCCCCTCAGAGGCACCCGGTGCTGCAGACACTGCAGCTTCTTCCCCGGCTAGGCTCCTGCCATTTGCTGGCTAACATGTGCTAAGAGGGCCCTTTTAAAGGTTCATTGTCCTCGGCACCCTGCTGCCACTGTGGCATTCAAATGTGGTAGCCACGGACTGCAGCGGGAACTGAGTCCCCCCAGGAATACCGGCAGCGTGGCCTGCACCTGCCCCGTGGCCTGCGCCTGCCCCGTGGCCTGCGCTTGCCCTGTGGCCTGCACCTGCCGTCCTCCTCCAGTGGGAGCAGCTCAGGTCCCCAGCTGTGCCCCACACCCTGTCCTCCTTTCTTTTGCTTCTCAGGTCACTGTCTTTATGAGCTATTTGATTTAATCATGTTGAAATAAGAAAATAAAAATCACAATTTCAGGAAATGTTAAAACAGAGGTAACCAAGCTCTCAGACATCACAGACATGCTTAGAACATTTTAATTTGGATGCCCTTACATTTTCCCTTTTGCCTAGTGAGTACAACACCATCTATGTGGGCCATGTTTTTTGTAAGAAGGGACATTGTCAGATGGAAAAGTAGGCAGCACATAGTCTTAAAATAAAAGGCTTTCAAGTGGACTCAATTTCATGTCATGAAAGCCTTACTTCATTCGCCATCCCCTGCTCCTTTTGCCACTGGCTTGTAGGAATTGGGCCCCGGGGGTGACTGGAAGAATCAGTCGCCTTCTTCTGAAATGCCTGGTCCCACAAACCCATAAAAGGAAAGACAGCCCATGCCTAGCAGCTCTAAAGCCCTCAGAGGCCTTTGTCCCTCAGTAGCGACAGCAGGCGGTGGTGCTGGCTGTAAGCTCTCTCTGCACGGTGGCAGAGCAGCTGCTGAAGTGGAAAGGGAGAACAACTCGCTGCTTGTTCACTGGGACAGGTAGCCGTGGCTGGCAAGCTGCCCAGGGCCCTCCTCTGGGGCACAGAGAGCCCTGGCTACAGCTGAGCACTCCAGTGGGGACACAGTGTCCTCCAGCCTGGGAAATAGGCGTGGAGGCCTGACTGTGTCCTGGGGCCTGGGGGAGTGGGGAAGGCCAGGACAAAGAAGGCTGGACTTTCCCAGCAGAATGGCAGGGCTGGGGGGAAGGGAGGGCCCGCTGGCTGACTTGGCCTGTCCAACTGCATCTGTCACTCTGTGGTTTTGAGCCTGAGCCTGGGTGGCAGGCCAGCCCCGGCCCATCCTCTCCCGGCTCCTGCTGCCACCCATGCAGCCTCACTTTAATCCATTTGTGTAGTGGG